CCCGAGTTAGTGAGAAAGTTAAATAATTTAGTGTTTTCACTAGTGTTTTCAAAATCCCCAAGGAAAAATCTTTTTACCGCTTTTTTAATAGATTCTGAACAAGAAATTTCTCATCAATAATTTGATTAAGAAAAATTAGTGTAAAACCTGAAAATGTGTTGAGCAAGGCTGAAACTATGAACAGAGTGTAAGAGGTAATAGGAATGATCTGCAGGTGGGGCTCTGGACTTCCACCTGTAAATGACCTTTATATAAAAATGTCTTATGTTTTAATGCTTGAGGAGATATTAAAAATTCTATTGGTGGGATTTTCAGGGAGGTGGTGAGAAAATATGAAGTAGCTGGACCTGTTTCAAACCTGAGCCTAATCCTCTTTCTTTGGAAATAAGGTATGCCAAGGAGGAAAGAAAATGGCAAAGGCAGAAAATGTTAAGACACAGGCTTGGCTTCAGTTTTGACCTCACATTGAGAGCATCTCTGGCGAAGCCAAGCTTATTAACCTGAAAGTAGTAAGGAAAAGGAGGATATGGAGAGGAGGGAGCATTATATCACTAATGCAAGCATGAGGTTTCAAGATGGGTTGACAATAGTTGCTGATTATGTTTTTTTCCTAAATTTGTTTATGGATTGTTTTGTGGTTTTGTGTTTGTTTTTTTTTTCCCTCCTGGCATGATCCAGTCAGCCTCTGTCAAGCTAAAAGGTCCCAGACTCTTAACTGGACAGTTTAGCTGACAGCATGGTGATAAACGTGCTTCTGCCAATCCACTAATTTCCTCCCCTGTCAGAATGAACCTTGCTTCCTTGTGGTGAGTTTGCAAAATAAAGAGTGCAAAAACAGAGGTGGGCAGAATCATCTGTTCTCTTGCTATTTCATTTGCTAATCAGAACTATTTTCTGCTCACCAGTTTTATTCTACTGATTAATCTGATATTTGTCATGGTAATTAGGCAAGACCTCAGCATGCTACCCCATTTGCATTGAAAAGCCTTTTTGTTTGGTATATTCTAGCCCTTTGGGTTTTTAACTGTTCCCATCTCTTCCTAACTTTCCATTTTTAACTATTCCCTAAAATTAGCTAAGAAGCAGTTGTTGCTTTTTCCACCCTTTTTTTTTCCACCCTATTTTCTATGCAGCATTCCTACCTGTTTCCCGTACTAAACAGCAGTCTGCTGTTTTACTGCAAATGTTAGGTTAAGAAAGCTTATCTTGCCAGGGGACATGAGTAATACCATATAAATTCTGGTACCAAAGTGATAAAAATAAGCAGATGCTCTCAGAATGCAGTTTTGCACGACTCTTCTGCACAATCTGCAGCAGTCATCCAACTGCTGACTTTTTATCTGGGTCTTTAGGTCATCCCAATAACACCTACTTATCTTTTTCCTTCTCTTCATCTTGTTCACACTCAGGTTTCTCTGTCTTTTGCTGCAACAGCATGTGTTTCTCATTGCAGTATTGTCCTTTCTTGGAAAGTGTTCCTGCTATGGCATAGTCCTAAAGATGCACTCCTGACCTGTAGCTTTTCCCCCATCAAATTACGACCAAGTTTCTATTACTACTTCTAAACTATTAATATTTTTATTTATAAACAGGAAGACTACATATTTAAAAGACTGAGCTGCAAAGGACTGAGTTTGTTGCTTCTAGTTCTTGAAGAACAGATCCTGCTCATTAGGGAAATAATAATCAGAAGACTGGATATATGTAATTTTTTAAAAAACTGCAGCGTAGTGCAGAACAACAAAAAAAAAATGCCTTAAGGAGCCAACTCAGGCGAAAATAAACATGTTCAGAGTCTTACTGAAATTTCCTTTAAAAACAAACAAATTAAAAGCCCCCTGCCCCCCCCCCCCAAAAAAAAAAAAACAAAAAAAAAAACAAAACCCACCCAAACTCCAAACAAAAAAAACCAGCAAACTTCAAGATACTTGGAAGGATGAGATCAACATTTTGAAGATTCCCTGCACAGGACAACCTAGGTAGTATCCATTGTCTGATCACCCTCTGCACCAATAATAAAAAAATGGTACATTATTTTTGATCTTTTGTGTTTGTCTATATGACTTCCCTACTTTTACCAGGGTTGGGAGGGGTGCGTGTTCATTTTTCAGCAAAAGCATCATTTAATGGAGGATTCCTTTATACACAGCTGGCAAAAGCATACAGCAATCAGACATTATCACAGATGATAATCCTTAATATCTTCAGTCTGACAACATGGAGGGTATAATAAGGGAGATGGCTGCACATCATCACTCTAAATGCTTACAGCAGACAAACTGCAGATTTGTTGTTTGACAGTAATCGTGGAAAATGCAGAATAATAAAGTAGATTGCTTTCTATGGCTTATTTTCTTCATCTGAGCATATGCCATGTGTTTATTTCGAATGTTTAACTGTTTATGCAGTTTAATTGCTCTAAAGCTGTTACGAGTTATCTTGTGTTTGCCTGAAGCTATAGATGACTTGTGAGCGACTTTCACCGAAAAGTACATATTGCATCAGTAGTAGCAGTGGAAGCCAGTTCTACCAATGAGTGCTATTTTTTGATTCAGATCAATGAATTCTCCATCTACTACAGTAATTTAGACATTCAGTAATTTTTTTTTACTGACGGATGTTGTGATTTATGTTCACTTCATTGCTTATCTGGATATTACGTCCTCCTAAAGTTAAGTTGTTGTATCCTTAACACTCCTCTGAGCTGTGGCAGGAGACGGCTGTTGGCCACTTCTTTTCACTCTCTTAAATCAGCCATACAGGCGCATAGTTTGTGTTGATGAGAAACTGTTAATTTGGTGACTAATACACTGATTCCATCTTGTGTAGAGAAAATTCATCATTTTTGATATCTGTTACAAAAATGACAGTTTCTTTGAAAATTGAGCCAGTACTTATGGAGTATCACTGCCTTCATTTGGTTCTAGAAGTACTATGCAAGGATTAAAATGATATGTGTAGGCAGAGATGGAACTTTTCAGTGAAGATATGTCAGCCGAAGGGTGTGGTCTGGGGTTTTGTTGGTTGAGTTTTGAGGGTTTTTTTGGCGGGGAGGTGTAGAAACAGTATGTTATCTCTGATGAGATGATAGGATCTCTTGATTCCTTGCCATGCAGTTGTGATGAGGGTTAGGCAGCACAGAAAACTCTTTTGTGGTGGTTCCAGAAGTGCTACTTTCTAGTCAGGTTTGCTTTCCCACAGTATAGATGCTGCCCATTTTAGGAATTTAAGCAAGAGTAAAATAGAAGCATATTAATGGAGTAGGTAATTTTTACATAGCTAGTGTTATCAGTTTGTTTAGCTATGTTAGCTGTGCAAAAACCCTCTCTAATAATTGTATCAGCAGCTGTACATGCATGCACAAGATAACTTTTGCTATGGAGTCAGTAAATTACTCTTCCCCTCTGCAGCAGCTATCATGATTTATTTTAAAAATAATGAAAAAATCTGATTAAAAGACTAAACATCACCCATGGACTGATGCTTCGTTCCCTTTTAATGTTTGTGGAGCTGATTTTTGTTTCTGGAAGGCTCAGAATTTGAGCTTGGGGAATATGAAGAGACATTTTCAAAAATAGAGATTCTTATACTGAGAAACTTACACTGTTTCTATTTATGGCAAAATATACATCATTATGAAATAATCAAACCAGAATGAGGTGTCAATCTCTGTTAATTTCTGTGAGAAAATAATACAAATTTCTTTCAGGCTGGACCGCTAACCAAAGTGACGATTTGTAAGGACAAAGAAGGAAAACCTAAGTCTTTTGGATTTGTCTGCTTTAAGCACAAAGTATCAGTGCCTTATGCAATAGCTTTGCTGAATGGAATCCGTTTGTATGGAAGACCAATTAAAGTGCAGTATCGGTTCGGTACGTTTAGTAGTCTCAATGATTAAGTCTTTGTAAATTTTTTTTTAATGACTATTTTTGAATCCTACAGTCTTTTACAACAATATCTATTTATCATTGGAACAAATTACAGTCCATTTTTTTTTAAGAAACAAAAACTTATTGTGGGTTTTGCATAGGGAAGGATTCAGTCCATATTTTTTGTTTACTAAGCGAATACAATAGGTTGGTTCAGAACAGTAGAACTTGCAAGCCAGCTCAGACCACACTGTATGGAAAACGTAACAACACAGGTTTTCATGCCAGATTACATTTAGGAATCAGGGTGTGACTTTAATTTGCAGTCTGGCAGGAAAAGTTGATTCAGTAAGTGCAGCAACTACCAAGCTGTTTGATAGTTTTTATACTAAAGCCAGAGTGGTCAGAGCCGTTGTGTTAAGTGAAAGGGACTGTCGTTTGAAGAATATAGTGAAATCAGAGTCACATTCTTCATTTTATGTTTATGAAAATAAACCTTCTAGAAAGGTAATGATCAGGCAGCGTTTGCAACCCAAACATTAAGGACTCGTGTTGACACTATGCACTGTGCCACTCCTTACTTCAAAGGCTGTACCAGGGCAGTTGCTGGGTTTAAGTAGAATGGCTGAGGTTCCTAAAATCAGAAACATCTCCCGTGTCTGTAACTGAATGGGACTTACTCTGTTCTTCCTTACTTCAACAGCCCTGATTTATGCTTCTGTAAGTAAATAAATGATAAATGAATGTTTTCAAGCAGTAAAATGATGCTATAGATTATCTGCCATAAAATGGCACCTTATATTTATATACTACCTTAGATACACTAGCACACCACAGATGACACAGAACACTTTCTGTGTTTTTAACTTGTTAATTGAATAGTTGTAATTGAATAGTTGTTATGTTCTTGTCTTATTTACAGGGAGTTCTCACTCATCAGAACTAAACAGCCCTACACATGGTTTTGAGAACTATATTGACTTATATTCACCTTCATATAGGTAACAAAGATCCCTTGTGAATTAATTGTATGATTATAATTTTTAAAAAATCTTATTAAGAAAATGAGTTGATGTGGTAGAGCAACCTTTAGGCTTTTCATTAAAACAGCTGTTGCATGCTTTAATTGCATCCTTACTGGTGACTTGCAACGGGCTGTAGTTAATTTTAACGTTTGGTTGTTTAGCTTGCCAGAGGCTCAGTTAGGTTGAATTTTCCATTCCTTATTTGTTTCTGCAAGAAACAACCATGAGAAAATACTGAAATTCGGTGTTTGTACTAACAATGTTTGCAGTTGTTGGCAGAAAAAAATCTGACAGTGGAGATAGTATTTTTAAACCCCACTGAGTTTCTATCTGTATTTTTTGTGTGAAAATGTACAAGCAGCTGTCATGCACATATGAATGCACAGGTGTAAACTCATTATAATGGACGTCTGAACACCCCAGTGTCAGTATTTTTCAATGTTTCAACATTTTTATTTACAAATGTGACAGAACTCTCTGTGGAAGCTAAACTTCCATGGTGAAATCTAGAACATTTTGTGGCTGCACTTAAGTGCATGTGAGAATTACTCATTAATTGAGCTTTTGGGTCTATTTGCCTTGTATTATCAGTTTTTTTGGTGGAAGTCCAGTTGTTAATAGCTCAATTCTCCTCTTGGAAATTCTCATTATAGCCCAAGAGTTAAGTCTCAGCACTCTGGTAAGCAGTATGTGGTGGATGTCTAGTCTTTGTACGTTTGCTTGTTTTTCCTAGGTATCAAGAGCCTTATGGAAATCCTCCATTTCCTGTTACTCCTTTTCCAGTGAACAATACTTTACCTCATGAATACTCAGGCTTTCAAACGATGGTGAGTTCGTGTTAAAAATTAAAAATTTGGGAGCTTTTTTATGAAGTTGGATGTATTCTGCATTTCTGCAAACAACGCTGCTTATTTCATGTCTCAAAATGTGGTTCAGGCTGCTAACGTTGGCAGTATTAGGTCTATTTATTTTAGGACTTAAGGGTACTATAATAACAGGGACTCTACCAAACCAAACTGTTTTCTTGTTGCAGGAATGTCTTATAGGTATGTAGCTTAGGGAGGCTAAAAATGTCAAAGTCTAGAGACGGAGCTCTCTCCTGTACTGTGTTCCAAATCAAATTCCCTTGGGGAGAAAAGCTAACCTAGTAAAATTGCAACCATGCAAGCCATAGCTTCTTCATATACAGCTAATTCAGAGAGGGGGCGTCTTAGCTCTTCTACTCAATTCAGAAATGCCCAGCAGCAGTTTGAAATGTCCTAAAACCAAACCTAAAACTCACCCAACAAATCTCCACTGTCCAAGTTAGGGCAACAACAGTTTGAGGGTTTCTGGCCTGAACCTTTACATGCCCCTGCAGTTGTCACATTCATGATTCACAGCAGTAGACAGTGAGAACCCATATTCTACTTCCCCTCTAACAGACTCTGATGCACTGGGCCATTCTTGTCCTAATCTCTTTTGTCTGAGATATTCCGCAAGGCAAGGGAACTGCTCTCTTCAGATGGCAACCTGTGGGCCAAACCCTACTCACCAAACACATCATGGAGCTTCTGAATCTGATCAATATAGGTCGGTAGGACTGAAGAAACCCAGCATTTCATGGGAGGTACCAACTGTGGACAATCCTGCTGTCACCCAGTCTGACTGGGGAACGGCCAGCCCTTTGTAACTGGAGACGGGGAAGAAGATAGTTGACTTTTGCTAGCTGCAATCTGAGAAGGAAAATGGAGATGGTCTGTTCCCTGTTGCACAGATGTAGTGGTAGCCTGCCTCCCCTCTTCCCAGGCTGTGCCCTCAGAAGAGCTGGTGCTTGCACAAGCTTTCCCATCCCCGCCATTGTTCAGAAGTGTACCATCTCCTCCACTGTGCTTGACAGTGAACCCATTCCTCAGTAATAATGCAGTACATAAACACAGAGAGACCAAACTCGGCAGAGCAGCACACACAACCAACTTCATCCCATTTTCTGCTTGCTAGAAGGGATGGTCTTGCAGTGTGTTTCCAATGATAGTATTAAGCGATCTCAACACACGTACGCCTTCACTCATCTACCTCACCTTTATTTGGGTGAGCCAGGCAGGTTACTCACTTGGAGTCTGCCTGGCCATATAACATACTCAGACACGCTCCTCATCATTTTTCTGGTTACTGCCGGTCAGTAGAAAGCCGCTCTTTTCTGACCTTTGTAATTCCATTTCTGTATTTGGCCTGTGCATTTTGTATGAGAGGGACTCTTGGGATACTTCAGGGACTGCAGCAATAAGCTGCGCACTTACTGCATTGTTCGAAGTGCTTTGATCTATGGATTCACTATACCTTGTTGGAACGCCCTGTTCCACATTAACTTTAAAATTAGTTAAACCAGGTTAAAAAAAATTGCAGATGTGCATGTCTTTACATTAACGATAGGCACCGCAGTTACAAATATTTATAAAATACATAGATGAAGAAATGAAAGGAATGTCATGTCTGATTACCTTACACAAGGACTACCTTCCAGTTTAATCTTAACTCAGATTATGTCTCTGTTCTAACTTTGCCATGAAAAAAATTGTCTACTTTTTCCAACTATACTAGTATATAAAATAAAATATATGAGCGTTATTCTCAAACGTTCTGTGTTATGTTCTTTTATAATTTATCAGTTTTTTCATTGTATAAGCTGTAATGAATGCAAAATTAAACTAATCAGAACTTCCTCTTTACAGTGTTAACAACTCAAGTTTCTGTTTCTCTAGATGAACCATTTTTTAGCACAGCAGTACACAGTACAGAGTCCAATGGGTCAACAATTTCCATACTATCAGATGACTCCACCACCGCCTTCAAATTTATCCTTTTCTCCCTATCAGAATCAAGCTGCAAATTTTAAGTCTGCACAGAGTTCTTTTGAATTGGCCCTGCCACATTCAAGTGACTGTGAAGTGCACCAGGTGGATGAAAGCACCTCTAAAAGAAAGAGAGAACAGCAAAGTTGTGACAGTGACACTAGTATTGAGGATGAGAAAATGAGGCAAAGAGAGCGTGACCAAAAATTCAGTAAGTGCAAAGCCAAGAAAAAGAGGCATTAATACTGTGTAACTGCATCCATCTTTTTTTAATTATATTTGCTATTTTTTATTTGAGAGAAATTTACTCTCTCATCTTTGCACTTTATTAAAAAAAGGAATGTTCAAGATTCATATTATTTTTGAAATGTGTTATGCATACAGTATACTGATACTTTATTTAATCTCAACCTATTTAAAGAGGAAAGTACTATTTAAGGTATAGGAAACATTTAAGATGTTGAAGTTTTCCGAATAAAGGAAGAAAACTACTTGGTTCCTCCCCCTGCCCTCAAGAATCATGGAAGGCTGTTATTTCACTACTATAGAAACTTTATGAAAATACATAATTTCAGCCACTCATGAAGCATATGTGTAATTTCCATCACTTATGGAATGTATTTTTGTGAATGATGTAAGAATTTTCTGAAGCCATTGAAGAAGCAAGCAGGCTAGAAATTCTAAGTGTCACATCAGAGATGTGCTCATCGCTGAAGTATCAACACCTATAACTTTTTTCTGATTTAGCTCTGTTGTTACTTTCAGTTAGGATGACCTTGTGTGGTTATTAGAACTTTTTTTTTCCAGTAGTAAATTTGAGGTCAAATATGGGCATCTGCACTAACTACAACACTTACGTATGTATCAATACTCAAATGAATGTATGTACTTTATGGCTGCAGTTATGTACTGACTAAACTACATGCATATATATATATATATGCATTTTTCTATGAAGTTACTCTCGTGTTTTATTTGCTTATTTGAGAATCTAAATGTTCATTGTAACAAATGGATGAAAAATTTAATGAGTATCTCATCTAATTGATAGCACAAAAGCACGAGTCAGTGGAGTTAGTACTCCCTCTTAAGAAGAAAAGTTTTTCCCTTGTTTAGCAAAGGAAGAATAAACTATCTGGTATCGTGATGAATCAAAGTAGTCAAATGACCTGTTGTCTATCTTCACAGCTGCCACCAACAACCTATAGACAGACACACAGGTACTGTCTTAGACAATACCAAGTAGAGGGGAAATACTTTTAAGATCCTGTTATATGAGAAAGCAAAACACTTAATTTTCAGCTATTTAATATTGCTTAAAGTTAAGTCTTCTGTTCAGACTAGGTGTAGGCTTCAAATTGAACCTGACAGTAAAAAAAGGATTTTGGTTTTGTTAAACTCAGATTTCTTGCTTATAATGTTAGGTTGCTTGAAAGGAATACTTTTCATCCCTACACCAGTATTGAGAAAGAATATCGAAGTTTCCTCGTTTAAAGGTGATGTGTTTTACAAGCCCAAATGAGTTTCAGAAATGGAAGAATGTTTAGCTTGCAACAATTTCTCTTTTGTCTGATAAATGGTAGCTAATAAAATCACTTTCTCAAGACACTGCTTTTAACTTCCCAAAGGGATCACTTCTTTAGCCTAAGAGACATTCCTATAATGCCATAGTATAGGACCCTTGAAATATCATTAGCAACTGAATTCAGCCTTCTCTTGGAAGAACTTCTGTAACAAAGGTTTGTGCCTTAATTAAGATTTAGGCCTTATGCTTTAAGAAACTTGCTCAGTCTGCCCAATCCCTTTCCCTTTTTCCCTCTACCCCTCTACACAAACACCTGCCCTTTTATCTTTTTGGTTCATTGTTTTTTGTTTGTTTTTTTTTTCCCCCACCAGTAACTTTAGGACTAAGCTATGTAAATGTATTCTAACTTCTCTTGGAAGATACTGCTGGCATTATACCTGGAAGTCACTGATCACAAAAGTTGCCACAATAATGGCAAAAGTTAACAAGTAAAATACAATTGATTTCTTTAAACTTGTTCCCTGTGTTATAGGAATTTAAATGTGATCAAGTAGAAGAAGAATATGTTAACATTAGCTTAAGTTAGAAGTGAAGTTCATCAGACAAAAGAGGAAACAGATGGATGCCCAAACCAGAGTTAGCCTACAGAAAGAGAAACTTAGCCAGGTCTACGCTAAAGTGTCCTTATCAGACTTTGCCAGTGGATAGATAAGATAATCTGTTCTATGCAATTATACTCTACAAAAGGAATGTCAAGGAGGATCACAAGTGAGCAAGCTGTATGAAGCTGCCAAAAAGCAAAACTAGAAAGCATTGAGAAGTAACAAAGGTCTAAATGTGCCTATCCGGTACGCACTCTGCCGGAGTTCCCAGTGCTGCAGCAGCCTGGTTCGAGAGACAGGCTGGAGTTTCAGCTGCCAGTCCCAGGTGGAGTAGTTCTGTCAACAGCGAGCATGTGCTTTCTAAATTTTATCCAAAAGTGTTCTAAGTTGGATCTCTTCAGCAGCAATAGCATTGCAGTGCTGATTTAAGTAGGTGACACAGCTGGTTCGGAGGAAGCAGCTTGATCTGCGGGCCCAACTCGGAAGACTCCTGTTGTTTGTCATTTTCTGATAACAAACTTCTGGTAGCACACATCCAGCTAAGAGCTAGTGAAAAAAAAAAAGTTTTTTTATACGTTGAGTCACAAGATAGGCTGCACGCACAGCACCACACGCCGCTCCCTCCCCTGCCCTCTCAATTTTACTTGAATGCCGCCCACTAGTACAACACACATTGGTCCTGTCAGTAAATGACATCAACGAGACAAAAAAAATCACAGGCAGACCGTGCCCTCGGCGGCTGCAGGTCGGATTTTAAGGCACAAAGTGCATTTCACCACAAGCTCTGCGGCCGTGGGGATACCACGTCGTGCGGCCCGACCGGGGCGGCAGAGCTACCAGAAGCCTGCCCTCCATCCCAGTGGTGCTGGGGAACTGGAGGAGCCCTCCCTGGCTCCAAGCTGCGGGGAAAGCTGAAGCTGAGGGCGGCCCCAGCC